ACAAATATTGATAACATTACAAGAGAGGGAAAAAATGTATGGAAACAAGATATCATGTAAAAGATATTTAGGCTTAAACGGATCTTCGAACTTGTCAAAAATCTTATAGAAACAGCAGAAGTATTTACAAAGTGGCTAATAGATGTTAACCTCAATATTTTGGAGAGACAGTCACAAACTCCCATAGAAAATTAGTGGGTATAAGTGAAGTGTGTGTGAGCAAGGCGACTTAAAATCTGGACTTAGGTTTTCCAGTTGGGAGGGATGGGGCAAAAATTACAGAAACTACAGTGAGAAGCTTTTGAAAGCAATCCTACTATTAAGAAAATGCATGTAAACTTCTGAATTTGAAGAAAGTTAAAGAAATCTTTAAAACAGTTTCACTTTATTCTGGTATTTACCTATCACACATCATTTTTGGTATTTCTAACCGAAAACAAGAAAACAGAGAAAAATGTAGTACATACACATTTCTGTAAGTGTATCCAAATACCTGGCTTTAACTGTGTAGATGGAGTAAATTTTATCCCATTCACCCCAAGATGATTTAATTACTGGCTTTAATAAAGATGACTTTGACTCAAACACTTGAAAAATAGTCAGCCACAGGAAAGGAAAATTCAGTCACGAGGGTCCAGAACAAGCCAGTGGCTGATGAAGACAAATGTGTAAACACATGTTGGCAGAATTGCTTTTTGGTTGAGCGTGAATTGGCCACACTCAGGAGGGCAGAAAGCTGGAGTTGTGATTTATAGTTTTGTGCTGTCCCCGGACCACCACTGTCTGCTGCCTCCCACCACTGTAATTACAACCTGTGTCTATTAGAATAGTCCTGCTGCCCACAAACGCATCGGCTCAGCTGAGAGGATGGGAGGGGAAGGATCGCCTCCCCCTTAAGAAAGTGTTGGTATTCAAACTGCGTCCTCGCCAAAAACAACAGGAGTGCAGAAAGAACGCAGATGATTAGACAAAGGTCAAAAAGAAGCACGCAGAAAGGCTGGGCGCACTTAAAACATGAATTTTAAGATCCGAACCTCCAGTTACAGCTGGTGATGCATGTAAATGTATTGAGGGGAAGCAGATCTCGCAAAAATCCTTTGAGAGTATAAATGTTCACTCAGTCAGGCAATCAAATGTTTATCTTACCTATCTGAAAAACAAATGGCTTGTCATTAATGTCCATTTTAAACCATATCAAGGTCAATCTCGAGTTGTTGTTTTTTATATATATATATATATAAAGATTCTCTTGTAAATCTCTTACACTTGTTTTACATTACATTTCTCACATTTCAGCATTCACTCCAAGAATGCTATTCGGATCCATCTGCTGAAAGGAACTCGGTTCACTTTAACTGGGACGTCACAGCGTCTCCTAGTGGAGGAATGCAGAGCTGCTTTTAGGTCTCCTATTAAACGCTCTGTCTAACATGAGTCAATCCATTAAAGTCTCGCACCGCACATTTATTAACCCTTCTGGTGAAGATATGCATATTAATCCTATAAACACATACATCATGAGTAAAATTTAGAAAAATTCAGTCTTTACAAGGACAAGGACAATCAGGAGTAAAATATTTATTTTTGTGTGTGCGTGCGCAAAATTACAGGTGACACATGTATTGACACTTTTAACAATTCATTAGAATTTAGTAAATTATAGATTTTTTTTATTTATTTTATTTTATTTAATCTTTTAACTTGATCAGGCTTTCTTACTTATCCATTACAACATAAAACAGACTCCTGTTCCCTTCCACCACTGGTCACCATGCTGAATGAGGACCCATATTTATTTTTCCACCTTGAGCTTGGCAATATGATGATGTTAGGGGGACTGAAAAAAAAAACACCATAGCTTCCTGCTGCAAACACTGACATATTGGGCTCACTAATGGGGCTGCACATTCTCAACAAGATACTCTTCTGGAGCTGGAAGAACAGAATTCATTCTTCCTCTGATTTAAGATTTCTTTTAGGTTCTTTTTGAGACATAGCCAAAAGATTTGTTTATTTATTTTTTTTATTTTTTTACTTTTGTGATGTCAGACAAAAGTTGTGGGAGTCAGCATAGATATTGGCAAACAAATTAGCTAGTTTAGCATAGTTGATGATGAGGGTTGCAGCCCTATGAGGACAAAGCAGCAGTGTATTAGTACTCAAATTATTACTTGGTTTTTCTTTTACATTACTCAGTGTGGCATTGTGCCGCCATAATAAAACCTAAGTTTATTTTAAGGTTGTTAACATTTTTTCCTGAGGTGAACAACCTCTGTATTTCTCTGTATCAGAGAATTGCTTTATGCCCCACTTCCTGCTGCCATAAAACAGAGTTGTCACACAGTTCACAGTTAAAAGTTTGACCAGCCTAAACATCTATATTGTTAAGTTAACTTTCCAATAATCTTTTTTTATTATTATTATTTTCAAATGGCCTCTTTCTTTTCTCTCTCCCTCATAAAGTGTAGGATTGTTCTCCCTATAACAAGGGACTGATCACCTTTTACTTTTTTTTCCCCCTGGAACTCTGAACTGATAATGAGAGCTGGCGGTGAGCTCTGGTCACTGTCATTTATGCTGTAATTGGCCTGGAGGTGCAAAGGGCAGTCTTGCATCAAAGAGCACCAAGAACTAAGTGGCTTGCAGAGACAGAGATAAAAGAATGCAATGCAAAGGAGGACTCTTACACTCCTTCACTTGAGTCACTGTTTAAACGCAACAAACTGTTCAACAAACAACATATTTGGGGGTCAGAGCAACAATTGGTCAAGTGAAACTAAAAATGTAAAAACATGGACATTTAAACCAAAGTTATAATTCTGTAAATCTTGCTGAATTTATTACATCCTTCTACCATAACATGGATCTTTTAGATTAGTTAAATAGCCTTGAATCCCATGCCAGTCCCCAAGTCATCAAAATGCACAAATGTTTTTATGACCCCAAAAAAGAGGTCATAAAACAAACTGTTGGTGTTTTATATGTAAACTTGAAAAGGGGGATGTCCAACAAAGATGTGAGATTTTAAAAAGTGAAGGCAGCAGAGCAGGATAACACCAGGTGCTGTGCGGCATCAACATCCACGCTGTCAAAGCAAAGCCGCATCGGACGTCTCCATATGCCTTCTTTTAAATTCACCTTTTAATGATAACAAACACAGTTTGTTGTCAAGTCGACTGATGAGGGCCCACTCACCATGGAGATAGCAAAATGGGTTGTGAAGGGTTACGGCGTCTGAATACATTCATGTCTTTATGAATAATTAAATTTACTTATGTAAAAATGTATGAATATTTATATATATGTAATTTCTTATTACCGTAGTTAGCTTTAATTAGTGATAAATGTGTTTAACTCTGAATGTAGGTCTGTCTTTTCTGTCGTCTTTTTAGGTGTGTTACACTGAAAAGTTATCTGACTATGTTATGTCTTATTGAAGGTGGCGTTCTGCTTCTGCTTTTCAGCTATCAAATCCACTACGCAACTAATTCAAACTTGGTTTTTTGGAAGGGAGAAGAAGCACTGTAGTGGAAGAAAAATATATAAAACATCTATTTCCTTCACTTTTGATATTGTTAGCTTATAAATAATCAACATTCGGTTTAGAATAAGACATTTTCTCTATTCGCTACTCTTGAGTTATATGGTAAAAACAAAAATTCAAACCAACCAAGAAGAAAAGTTAATCATGGTGGAATAAGTCAACCACTGAAAAAACAAAATTATACAGCAGGAGTTATCATGTATCTGAAAACAAAATGAATTGTTTTAATTCATATTCAACAAATTTCCTCTTTTCACTTGTACAAATCACTCTTGTCTTGCTTGAAGCAAACAAATTTAGCAAACCAGTTTGAAATTTAATATGATTCTTTATGACCTAATATACCAGAACAGATTCTGCTGTGAGGTTGGACTGGGGGTCTTGTAAATGCCTGCACTTACAGAAAAGACGGTAGGGAGATGTTTGCACTGATATCATAGCTCATTAGTGTAATAACCATGCTCTCATCTGATCTATGTGACCACAGACTCGAGTGGTTAAGGCTGAATTTGTGACTTATCGATTCCTACGGCTTATTAAAGGCATGAGTATCTTGCTGTACAGAAACATGTGAAGGCAGGATTATGGGGAAATAGGAGTATTGATCAGATCAAGAAGTAGAGGCTTGTATTTCAAATTTCTAAAAAGAGCCAAGATTGAAGGGAAAGAGCAATGTTTTCTCTGAGATATAGGGAAATACTCTGAGAAGTCACACACTGATAAATGCTACAAAGGGCATTTATCATTGCTGTCAATAAAGCACATTATTCAGGTGAGTGTGAATGTTGATTATTAAGGCTCACAAAATTATTGTTATTGCTCACAACATTAATACTTTTGTATTTGTTTTACTGCTTTTGATTGTCCTGTTTCAAGAAATAACCCTTTGGCATCTGGCAGCCAATTACTGTAAACTCCACAAAAACGTGGCCGTGCAGCAAATGTCATCCTTCAAATTAGGAGTAATTAATGGCTGTTTTTTTTTTGTTGTTGTTGTTGTTGTTGTTTGTTTGTTTGTTTTTCCAAGGGAAGTAAACCATGCTCAGATTGTTGTCATACTTTTCTTCTAAAGCAGCGATTAAGCATCCAAGCCTGAATTCATTATAATCTGTCTGGTAGCTTATGATGAATCACCTTCAATTTGGTTTAATATTACTTGGTATCATTTATCAAAATCCAGACTTCTTGTTTGTACTTATGCAGTTTTAAAGGCGACTTGTAGAGGCTACATTTTATGCCATAACTACTCATAATAATTTAGTGCTCCTGTCCCCAACTCATTCAATCACAGCCTTTGTCAAACAACAACAAAATGACTGACAGAACGTCAAGTAAATATATCTCAAAAAGTGTTTAGATCCTGATTCATTGTCTAATTACAGTTGCTGGCGTTTTCCGGTAGGTGGCGCCGTTGTTTCACGTTGCATCTTGTTTTGGACGTCATATGTGACGTAACCAGGAAGAGGAAAGTCACTTTAGCCGTAGCGTTCTCAACTTGCAGGAAGCTTAAAAGCTAAACAAAAACAAACCGTTTAACAGCGCTCAAAGCGTAAGTTAAAGGACACAGGTCGCTTTAGTCACTTTTCATAACTCATTCTTTAGCTTGTTATGTAGCTGATACGGCTTCTAATAAAAGTGTTGTTTGATTATTGTCGCAGGGTCTCCATGGTCATCGTTCAGCAGGCTTGCAAATAGGTTTTTTGTTGTGGAGAAATGTCGTCTTGCCGAACAGGGTCGTGGATGTTTGCTACTGCCGCAGTGACAGTATTTCTATTGGAGACGGTTGTTTTCGCTGAAGCTAAGGTAAAAACAAACAAATAAACGTGTATATATATATATATATATATATATATATATATATATATATATATATATATATATATATATATATATATATAAACAGGCTGATACAGGGTTATGATGCAGCAGAAGAGTGGATGAAAACGCAAAAGGTGCAGGCAGCCTGAGTAACATGGAGATATGCTTAGTTATCGTGTTAGATTCTGGACAAAACGTTTTTAAGCACAAACTTTTAAAGAACTTGGCTTTTAGTCAAGAGGAAGAACACATCGTCCTACTTATAATTATCTCTTTTTTTATCTTAAGTTTATTTTATAACTTTTATTATCCCATTAATAACTTGCATGCTTGTTGAGTTGCTAAAAAATATTTGGGGGGTATACTAGAAAACAACATGAACATGACAAATGATTTAGGTTGAGATCCTGAGAATGTATCTTAAAAATAAAAAATACTGATAAAAAAAATACATCCTTTTGGGAGTTATTTTATTTTACACTTAGAATTACTTTTATCTTAATGAATTTCCATAAATTTACTTCTTCTATCAGACCATGATGTTTACTGATAACAGCCGAAGCAAAGACCATTAGACACATTTTTATAGCCCGATTTTACTACCATGTGCTTGTGTTTGTCGATTTAAAAAAATACATATTAGTGATTTACTGTAAGTCATTATGTAAGTCATCATTAAATACAGTAAAAGTGATTAATAACATTATTTGCCGATAAAATATCTGTATTCACTGTATATAAGTTAGTAAAACCTTAAAGCTTTTTTTTAAGTATTTAATTTGTATTTAAATATTTTAAAAACTTGTATTTATTGTTGTTTTACAAAAATATTGTATAGATTCAGAAAAAAAAAAACTAACGAAAACCCATGTTAGCGACCAATGTGCCTAATAGTAACATGTATTAAAAGAATATAAATTCATTTAGCACAACTGTGTAAAAACATTGATATTTTATGTAAGAAATCAAAATCAAAGAAATGTTTTATAGGCGTGACCTCCACAAGTTTGTTTTCACTGCAGCACATGCTGAATGAATTCCTCAGGTTATTCCTAAAGCTGAATTTGGCCACTGCCATCAAATTAATACTGCTGCTCACAGGTCCTGTGTAACACTTGTCAACAATCCTGGCGTGGAATATTTAGCCTTTATTCTTCTGGCCCTGTTTCTGGTTTGTTGGCTGTGTACTATTGAACCACATTCAGTCCAGAAGAAGCTGTGTACCGGGAACAGTTGCAAAACCTGTTGTGTTTGTTGGGATCTGGACCAGTTGGCCTCCAACTCTCAGGCTCATCTGTGATTTCTTGCTGCTAGGGTTCAGCTCATTTGCCACCTAACATGAACCGTACTGCAACAGGATAATCAATTAATCACAGAACGTTGTTGTTCTGTAATAGAGCTTTCTTTATAGTAGAGGAATAATAGTAACACGGAGTGCGGTTAAGTCCCTTTAAAGTTTCAATAAAGTAGAAGTACAATCCTGACCCATGTTTTTCTTACTTTTCACAGAATTTTGAGGATGTCCGCTGCAAGTGCATCTGCCCGCCTTACAGGAACATTTCTGGGAATATCTATAACATAAACGTCACCCAGAAAGATTGGTAAGAGGAGCCTTTTATTTATTTGAATTGGAAGTACACCAAGACCAATAGCCTTTATTCCTCATAAACATGACATGAGTATGAGTAAGAATACTTATGTACATAAACATGAGTATTCTTACATTTTTTTTACTTTTGCTGTGTTTTTTTTTTATTATTATTTGCTTTATGATTTTACTCATCATGTGGTCTCATAACCCTATGTCATTATGTATTATTATATATTCAATGTTTCAGATTCTAAAACACCTGCAGATATTGGGGTTCACTGTAATCAGTATTTATTTAAGAGTTTGCATCCCTATGCAAACTATAAGCTAGTTTACAGTTTTTATTTTTATATATTTAATTCCTCTAACATATTTGCTTGCTTTGAGTTGAATTTGTTATTAAAAGTGGAAAGAGAAATACAATTTTATTTCATGGCTTATTTTATATCTCACACAAACCTGGCATTTTAACATGGGTGTTTTCGATTTTGTAAATCCATGTTTGTCCATTTATTGCCTTCATTATTTTATTTTATTTTATTTTTTTCAGAAATGTACTAGCTGCATTAAACTGTTTTACAGTTGCTCTGTGTGATGTAATGTAGGACAAATAAGGCAAAGGATACATGAAATGTGCTTCTGTCAGATTGATTACCCTAACCTGCTCTAGCTGTGTGTGTGTGTGTGTGTGTGTGTGTGTGTGTGTGTGTGTGTGTGTGTGTGTGTGTGTGTGTGAAACTTGCAGAATTCAGACATCTAATATATATTTTTTGCATTTTGAATTTGTGAATATGTTGCCTGCTTTGCAAAAATGAACACATATTGTAATACATTTGCAGCAACTGCCTCCATGTTGTGGATCCCATGCCGGTTCCTGGCCATGACGTGGAAGCCTACTGTCTGCTGTGCGAGTGCAAATATGAGGAGCGAAGCAGCAACACCATAAAAGTACAGAGTGGATTTATTCCAGATCTTCAATACGACAAACATCAGTGGCATGCTTATTCTGAATATCTTACAGGTCTTATGGAAGAAGAAGACTTTCTTTGTCTTTTTAGTAAAAAGTCTTAACATATAATAAATGGATTGAAGTATTGATGTTTAGTAGGAAGTTTTTATGTTAGTTGGTTCTCAGACTGGACGTTTTCTTAGATCGGATCTCGCTCTGACAATATTCCCCAGGTGACCATCATCATCTACCTGTCTGTCGTTGGGGCTCTGCTCGTCTATATGCTGTTTCTGCTGCTGGTTGATCCTCTGATCCGCAAACACGACCCCTACACTCAGCCTCTGCACAACGAGGAAGACTCTGAGGTAACAAGCAGCACACATAAAGAAGATCATTGCTTTTCAGGGGTAGTGTGAAGCTTCAGACTTACGAACGGTCCTTCTTTTCAACGTGTCTCTGCTCGTGTGTGTGTGGTGTGTCTTCAGGAGATGCGTCCTCACGCAGACGCCGGGCTGGCCAGAGGAAACACGGTGCTGGAGCGGGTCGAGGGGGCACAGCAGCGCTGGAAGAAGCAGGTGCAGGAACAACGCAAGACCGTTTTTGACCGCCACAAGCTGCTGAGTTAAAACCTCACCGCTGAACTTCAGCCGTCCTCGGTGTGACAAATCGCTCCAGGCTCATTACTATTCCACCCTCACCAGCTGCACTATTTCAAAGTTAGCTTTCATTGATGTGCAATGCAGTGACTGTACAACTTAAAAACTTCAGACATGTTTATCAAACAAGCAGATGGGTTGTAATCTTGATACTTGTGATATGAACGCTGTAACATGAGTTAAAATGCAGCTGTGAAAAAAATGCTTTGCACATTCTTAAGAGTAAATATATTCTGTTATTTTAAACTCCAGCAAAGCATGAAGTTTTGAATGTCTTTCGAAAAATAATTGCATGTGTTTTAGTGATCGATGTGATGAGTTTTCTGCTAGTAGTTCTCCTGTTGCATGAGTTTTAAAAGTTGCCTCACAAAAAAAAAAAAAGCACACCGACTTAGTTATAATCACAGCGCTGAGATGATTGCCAAATAGTCCTTATTTCTGATTTGGCATTTGTAATTTATTCATCTGCTGCACTTGAGCATGTTCAGATTTCATTTTGAGTTTTGTAACTTATTGGTGTCTTTTTTAACCTCAAGCTGTGCCTTTTTTCCTGACCTCTCTTGCTTCGGGGAAATGGATTTTGTCAAAGCAAAACAAAGATTTGTCTTGTAAATATTGGCCGTTTATCACTTTTTGGATGTAGCCGAGGGCAGTCAGCCAAGTGATGCTTTAAAATTAGAAGCTTTGCAGTTGTATGAAAACGTTAATGTTAAAGTTGCCATTTGCATTTAGGGTTAGTTCATAACAGTTAGCCTTTCAGATAAGGAATTTGAAAACACATTTTTCTTACACAGAGCCTTTAGAGCCACTCCCCTCTAGAACAAGCTTCTTAAATTAAAAAAAAAAGATTAATTTTGACATTTTAGATATATTAACACAAAAATCAAAAATTTTTGCTTTTACAAAGTACAATTGCCAAGACCCTCAAATCTTAAATGTACTTGTTGAACCATTTTGGTCTGTGCTGAAATTCAATCATTTACGGGAGGGACCTCACCGTTTGAGGACCGGAAGCAACGACTTAATTTGCTGACTCTTCCAGTGATGACGGTGGGTGTGATAGGAGAGCAAATGTTTCAGGTGAGAAAACATTCTGCATTTTGTGTCCTCGGACAGAGGACACGTCCATGGATGATGTTATAAAATAAATATCAGGGTAGCACTCTGCCACCCCTGGTAGAGTGCTAGCCTTTCAGATCTCTAAGCTGCTGTTAATGCTCAAGTGTAATCCACATATGTATTACAACATAACCAGCGATCGGCATTGTGTTTAGCTGTTCTGTGCTAAGTTTCTTGATTTTATGTGTCTGTCTTAATTTTTGAGGTAGAAATTAAGATGACTGTAACGAGCAACACATTCCAAACACAATTGAGAAAGAAAATAACATAAAAATGGTAACATTTAAGAAGGTCTGTTCTTTGGTCTAATATAGGAATATGTTTCATCTCCAGAAGTTAATGTAGTGGAGCAAAATTTACTTCTAAGAAGAGAAGATGAAATTGAGACCTTAAACCTTCTTTGGAGAATGTTTGAATACTGTCACCAAAGAGCTGATTGGTGCGGCAGAATCAGGATGCCTCCTGGCTATGAAAAGGGGATTTTTACTTGTGCACCAAAGTTTCCCACTGGAGGATTTTTTTTATCTGTCAAAGTAAGGCTCATTTTCTCACAAAGCTTGATTTAATTCAACCTGCTGATGTTTTGTTGTCTGTACTCGTTTAGTTTGTATTAATAATTGTTAAGGGTGTTAATTTAAATATTTTTTGTCATAATGCTGCTGTTGTTGCTTTTCATTTATTAATAGAAAAGATTGTAATGATTTAGTGCTATTGTGAGGAAATATGTTTTGTGCTGTTCAACAAATACTTGATTAAAAAATCTCAGAAGCCATTACAGCTGTCAAATTTCACTCTGCATATATGGTAACTACTGGTGTGTCAAAAAAAATATCCTCTATTTCGAAAATGTTCTACAGAATAATGCTGAGATATATTAAAGTTGTTCTGGTGGCACATGGTGAGAAAATGCACAGTTCACTTTTGTGTTAATTTTCCCTTTAATTTCTTTTTGTGTTTCTGTAATATTATCTCTACCCTCATGTGGTCATTGTTCTCAGTGTCTTCACATTTAGAAGCTGCAAGTTCAATAAAGGGGAAAAAAAAACATTTTGTGAAATTGATTTATTTTACTTTTGGGCTACATTTATTTATGAGCAATAGGGGGCGACAAAGTACACTACAAATAAGCTACTGCAAGATAAATTCACTAACCACATCTCAACTTACCTTTAAGAAAATTGTCAGATTGTATGAGATTTTATAGTGGTATAATAAAACTGCTTTTATTCAACATTATAATTTTTGGGGTCCCATATAACATTTACTGAATAAAAACTTGATAGGCTGTCACTAATCTCTGCATTGAGTAGATGAAAAGTACATTTAAATTTTAAAAAATCAAATTTAACCATCCCATGTAATCCATTTTATTTATAAAGTCATTATATTAGAGGGAAATACTGTTCATGCAGCATCATATGTAGACATTGACATTTTTTTTCAAGGTATTTGCAAAAATGTTATACTGTCCATATGAAATAAAATGGGAGTGGCAGAATCCTGTTTTATTCAGAAGGACCAGAAGAACTTGAAGAGATGGATGGAGATAAAGAAGAGGTAATCTTTGAAGAAAACGTGACAGAGGTTTTTCTCCCGCTCGTATTGCTGTCTCACATCATTCACATTCGTCCTGCCCCTTCTGCCACTGCCCTCCCCTCCTGACCCTCCCAGCCATCCCCAAGCATGGCCTGCCGGTGCTTTACAGTCTAAATTTAAACATGCTGCAGGGCCAACTGCTCCTCCAGCCACTCTGGGCCTCTTTTATTTTTCTCCACAGAGGTGAGCTTTTTCTGTCCGGGGCCCTCGGCTTGGAGGAGAAGTCCGTGGCTCTGAGACGGAGCTAGAGGGGAGAGAAGAGGACGGCGGCGGCGGCGGCGGCGGGGGGGAACCCGCACACATGAAAGGCTACTCTGGAGGCCTTCACTGAGGAAGATCTGCACTGAACCAGAGTTTGGGATTTTACATCAACCTCTGAATTTTTTTAATTGTTTTTTTTTTTTTTTGCGGATTTTGTGGAAAGGTTGTGTGAGGTGAAGGCGTCAGGATGGCGACCAACACGGATGCGGCCAAGCCGGTCATCATGAACGAGGAGGAACTGAAGAAGAAGCAGAGGGAGAAGCTGAAACGGCTTCAGGCCACAGGTGGCAACCCTCGACCTGCCAGAACCCTCTTCCTCTTCTCCCTCAAAAACCCTTTCCGAAAGGCCTGCATCAACATTGTGGAGTGGAAGTATCCTTTATAGACTGAAATATAAAGCACTGAACACATTCATTAGGTTATTCAGTTGTCACGTCACATTTCCACCAGGGAACTGAATCAAGTAACCAGGTGATTGCTACATTATGAAGTCTTCTCTAACAACTGTGGTTCAATATTTGCAAGCCTCTGATTTTCTGTTCATCCCAATCTGTCCCCACCTGGCACGTAAAAGCAATCAGCTTCCTAATTAATGAGCTGAATGCCTTCAATTCTGCTGGTTTGTGTGGAAAAAATTACTGAAATACAGGAAGACAGGTGACATTTGGGAACCAAACGCAGGATGATGATTTATAACTCCTGTTGGGAGTTTTCTGCATTCAGCTTTGATTGTATACATTTGTGTTTGAAATAACAGCAAAATATCATTGTTTATGTGATGGTAGCACTGGTTTTATGGCAGAAGATATTTATTTTACACCAGAGAAAAAAATATCTGAGATTAGAATATTACATCAGATCATTAAAAGCACACTTTTTAGCAGACGTGTGGGCTTAATTATATGTATGTTAAATACTTGCTTAAAAGTTATTTTCAAAAGATATTTTTAATCTGACAGGTGAGCCTCATTGTAACGCATATTCTGGTTTGTTGAACATGCCTGCAGTTCATAAGATTGGGAATATTATAGGAACATTATAAAATATACTTTTTACATGCCTTGTTTATGGTCGGCTGTTTACTGTTGAACGTAATGCGGCAGGACAGAGTCTATAAAAGGAGCAAATTAATCAGAATAGAGCATTTAGCTTTTATATACATCGACTTGTGTAGAAATAAACGTCTTGCAGTCTGACTCAAAACATTTTTTCCCTGACGAACAGGGAAAAAATGGCCTGTCATATTCTTGGGCTCTGCAGCTGTTCCTCCACATCACAGAAAGACATGATGCTGACCTGGCAGGGGAATTTTGTCGGAGAGCCCCCTATGGATGAGAATGAAGCATCGCACCAGACAGGATTACATTCACTCCCTACAGCTATGCCAGTAGAGGATTAAAGACCAGAGATCACCGCATCTCATCCGTTTGATATGCTTTGTAACACTATATAGGCGTATCACAAAAAACCAGACCATTACTCACACATAAAGAAAGTTGCCTTGAAACTTGTGCGTTGTTATGATCCTGAGCCTTCCTCACCCAGAACCTTTGAAATTATCATCCTGTTAACCATCTTTGCCAACTGTGTGGCTCTGGCTGTGTTTCTGCCCATGCCTGAAGAAGACAGCAACAACACCAACACGAACTTGGTGAGCAGAACAAAGAACCTTTAAACAAGGAACAAGCCATGAACATTTGCCAGCTCTTTAGTTATACTTAGATTTTTCTGCCAAGGCAGTGACTGTGCTGCCTGATGAAGCAGTTTGCTATAGCTGTGTGTTGATTTAGTGGATGGTGTGATGCTAAATGGCTACGGGCTTCAGCTGCTCTTTGGTGTGAGAGTCAAGCCCCATTTCTAATGCTACCAGATACAACTCAGTTCTATATTTGGAGTCCCATCTGCGTTTGTCCAGGGTCGATGGACAAATGTGCTCTTTGATCATCCTTGCATGATCTCATTATTTTGTATTTCTGATCACTGGCTTGTGAAGCAGACCAGCATACAAAGAAGTATGATGAGCAGAAACTCGTCATATTTCTGCTAATATGACGAGTTAGCATTTAAACGGTTGATGTAAACGGTCAAAATTGTTTACGTTATTCTTGTAATAATGACAAGAATAACAACAATAATAACAATAATAATTACAATAATTATCTGCCATTAGAACGTTGAGCAGTGTGTACACATGTGTGATTGACAGCACTAAGACTTTCCCCCTGACTGATTGGTTGTATCTGGTGCATTTCTGCAAATGGCAATAGGACCACAGGATAAATTAGCTTCTTTTTTTTCTTACAGATTATCTCATGTAAAAAAGTAATTTTTTCTTTACAAATGTTACGTACCTCCTACAACAGCTTTTTAAAAATTACTACTATTTTAGCTCCACAGATCAGTGG